CAGCAGGTTGGTAGTCTTCAAGTTAGTAAGTAATGTTTTTATTTTTGGAATATTAAGATTGGATCATAGGTGATCCAGCAATCCCATTTCTAGATATTTATCTGAAGGAAATGAAATCACTCTCTTGAAAAGATGCCGAAATCAGTTTAGCTCAGTGGATAGAGCTTTAGTCTGGGGACTGAAGGGTCCCAGGTTCGATTCTGGTTAAGGGCATATACCTTGGTTGCAGGCACATCCCCAGTGGGGGCTGTGCAGGAAGCAGCTGGTCGATGTTTCTCTCTCATTGATGTTTCTAGCTCTCTATCCCTCTCCCTTCCTCTCTGTAAAAAAATCAATAAAATGAAAAATTTTTTAAAAAGATATCTGTACCCTAAAAACCAAACATAGAAACAACCCAAATGTCCATTGATGGAAGAACAGATAAAGAAAATGTGATACACACACACACACACACACACACACACTGGAAATATTATTCAGCCATAAAAAAGGAAAGCCTGCCATTTGTGACAACATAAATAGACCCAGAGGGTATTAGGTTAGTGGACTAAGGCCCATAGAGAAAGGCAAATAGTGTATGATCTCATTGATATATGAAAACTAAAAAAAAATATCTTACTCAGAGATATAGAGAATGAATTAGTGCTTGCCAGAGGCAGGGATGGGTGGGGTAGGCAGCAGGAATGAAGGAATCAAAAGGTACACACTACCAGTTATGAGATAAATAACTCCTGGAGCTGTAATGTACAGCAAGATGACTATAGTTAACAATATTATGGTACTACATAGTTAAAAGTTGCTAGTAAATCTTTTTTTTAAAATATATTTTATTGATATTTTACAGAGAGGAAGGGAGAGAGATAGAGAGCTAGAAACATCAACCAGCTGCCTCTTGCACACCCCCTACTGGAGATGTGCCTGCAACCAAGGTACATGCCCTTGACCGGAATCAAACCTGGGACCTTTCAGTCCACAGACCGACGCTCTACCACTGAGCCAAACCGGTTTTGGCGAAAGTTGCTAGTAAATCTTAAAGGTTCTCATCACATGGAAAAAAATTATAACTATGTGTGATGACTCATGCTAACTAAATTTATTGTGGTAATCATTTTTCAATATATATACACATATTCAATCATTATACTGCACACCTAAAACTAATACAGTATCATAAGATTGGATGACCCATACTTAACATTGATCTCAAAGAAACAATGTTTGATTTTATGACCAAATGAAACATTTTACTATTTGTTAAGAAAACCCAATGGTGCCAAAGCCGGTTTGGCTCAGTGGATGGAGTGTCAGTCTGCGGACTGAAAGGTCCCAGGTTCAATTCCGGTGAAGGGCATGTACATTAGTTGCGGGCACATCCCCAGTGGGGGGTGTGCAGGAGGCAGCTGGTTGATGTTTCTCTCTCATCGATGTTTCTAGCTCTCTATCCCTCTCCTCTCCTCTCTGTAAAACATTAATAAAATATATTTAATAAAAGAAAAAGAAAAAAAGAAAACCCAATGGCTAATAACAGGCTCATTTCCTGATAGTGGAAGGAAAGTGTATTACAAGATTTTGATTTAGAGATTTTAATATATAGTTAATAAAATCCCCCCTTTCACTATTAGAAGTAGCTATTATATCAACTTCTTGCTTTAAAACTGCCCTGGCTGCCGAAGCCAGTTTGGCTCAGTGGTAGAGCATCGGTCTGCGGACTGAAGGGTCTCAGGTTCGATTCCAGTCAAGGGCATGTACCTTGGTTGGGGGCACATCCCCGGTAGGGGGTGTGCAAGAGGCAGCTGGTCGATGTTTCTCTCTCATCGACATTTCTAGCTCTCTATCTCTCTCCCTTTCTCTCTGTTAAAAATCAATAAAATATATTTAAAAACAAAACAAAACAAAACAAAAAAAAAACTGCCCTGGGTGATGTGGCTCAGCTGGTTGAACATTGTCCCATGCACCAAAAGGTCACCGGTTCAATTCTCAGTCAGGACACATGCTCAGATTGTGGGTTTGGCCCCCAGCTGGGGTCCATGAGAAAGGCAATCAATGTTTCTCTCTTACATCAATGTTTTTTCTCACACTCCCTTCCTCTCTCTCTGAAAATCAATAAAAACATATATTTTAAAAATGTTATAGTTAAGCAGAAAGAACTAAGCCAGCTTTTATCCTACTTTTCCTACAAGAATTGAATTGTAGGGTAGTCAACTGACTCTAAAAGATGGAAGTCTTGCATAAATTTTAGTTAATATGTGATGAATAAAAGAAAGAATAAGTAAGCTACCATTTTTTTTGCAGTCCAAATAAAAGTTAATTCAGGCAAGAATCATTTAAATAGGAACTTAAACTATTAAGTAAAGGGGGAACTTTTGTTTGCAACAAGCCAATTACCATCTCTCAGATTACATCTTACCTGATCACCCTAGTCCCTGATAATAGAAGTAGGCATTATGTGCATCTTAACATAATGCAATGTGAAGCACAAAGCAGCACCTAGGAAGAGGTCGTGTCAAAAAGGCTTCACCTAGCCCTAGCCGATTTGGCTCAGTGAATAGAGCACTGGCCTGTGGACTAAAGGGTCTGGGGTTCAATTCCAGTCAAGGGCATATGCCCAGGCTCCAGGCTCGATCTCCAGTAGCGGTGTGCAGGAAGCAGCCAATCAATGATTTTCTCTCATCACTGATGTTTCTATCTCTCTCTCACTCTACTTTCCTCTCTGAAATCAATAAGACATATTTTTTAAAAAGGTTTCACCTAGCCCTGGCCAGTGTGGTTCAGTTGGTTAAGCGTGGTCCCATGCACCAACAGGTCCCCAGTTTGATCTTTGGTCAGGGTACATGCCCAGGTTGCAGGCTCAATCCCAAGTGGGGGCATGCAGGAAACAGCCAATCAGAGTCACATCTATGTTTCTCTCTATCTCCTTCCCTCTTCCTTCCGCTTTCTCTAAAAATCAATTTAAAAATCTTTAAAAGAAAGAAAAGAAAAAAGGAACCTGTTAGTGGAATAGCTTCCATTTTGGGTGACAAAGCAGAGGCATACAACGCATATTTATTTCTTACCTCCCATGGGCGAGGAATGTGTTCGGGGCTCCCTCACTGAGCTTATGGATAAGGATGGCAAGACAGACCTTTCTCAAGTAACCACAGACATACACAAATACAAGCAATGACAAGCGTCATGAGTGTACTATCAGAGAAGCAATTCAGTCTCCAAATTCAAGCCACTACACTGGACGCACAGGGGTTAAAGCAAGGACTTGGGGTAGAATACTTGAGTTTGCATCCAGCTCCTCCTACCTCTGACTAACTGTGTGACCTTGAAAAATTTATTTCACCTTTTAAATAAGGTGGGGCCTGGCCAGTGTGGCTCAGTGTTTGAGCATTGACCTACGAATCAGAAGGTCACAATTCGATTCCCAGTCAGGGAATATGCCTGAGTTGCAGGATCTATTCCCAATGTGGGGCATACAAGAAGCAGCCAATCATTGATTCTCTCTCATCATTGATGTTTCTCTCTCTTTGCTCTTCCTCTCTGAAATCAATAAAATAAATATATATTAAAATAAAAAAACAAGTGCAGGTATGAACAGTCCTTACATAGGAGAGTTGCTGTGAAGATGACATGGTCAATACTATATGGTGCCAGAATGGGGCCTGGCACACACTAAGTGTGCCCCCCCCCCAAAGTGTGTCTGTTATTATCTTCATAGTCCTTTGGCCCAGAGCAAAATGGAATGTAATAGTATCAATCCTCTCTGTTTAGCCTGTGAGGACTTAATGTTTTAATATCCTTTTTTTCTTTCAGTAAACTCTTGCTGCACACCACACTCAGAGAGTTTGTTAAAATGTTTTTTATTTTTAAATATATAAATTTATATATATATACATATTGCATAATAGCTTTACAGTTGTGAGTACACGAGTTTATGTTTGCATTATTATTTATTAATTATTGTATCATTTACTTGTGTTGCTCCTGTAAGCCTACTGCTGCCCACCCCTGTGTATGATGCATGAGCTCCATTCTGAAACAAAAGTGTTAGAAATCCTAGGGATAGAGCCTGAGTGTCCATATGCTTGAAGCTCCTTGAACTGGGAACCACTTTCTAAAGTGGTTCAAAAGTATAAAGCTCTCCGGAGCAATGAGTTTACTAGTGCTGTTACTATTATTGCAGCCTCAGCAGTGTGCAACCCATGATCTGATCTTACAGCGTGCAAATGATGTCAGCCTCGAGAGTTGAAGCTTCTACTAATTTCTTTCTCCTCTCATACCATCCCCCATTTCTCCAAAGCAGAACAAATATGCAGACAAAAAGCGCTTGGGTAAGGCCCCCCTCCTTGTCCTCCGAGCCTGCCTCCAGTGCGTTTTCCTGCGAGCTTAACTTGGGAACGGGTCAGAACACCCTCCTGGGTGGAATTATTTGCAGACAGAGGCCACCCAACCCAACCCAACCCAACTGTGGAGCAGTCCTCTTTGTATCCAGAATGTCTCAAACACGGAAAAGCCAACACGGCTATTTGTCATGAGGGTGGGGAGAGGAAGGAATGGGGTGTGAAAAACCTGGGCATTGCTTTTCCATTTATGAGGGGCTCAAGTGCCATGGTCTTCAGCTCCATTAGGTCGTGGTTACACCTGAGTGTATGCATGTGCCAACATTCGTTGGGCCGTACCCTTATAACCTATGTCTTTTATTATAGGTAAAGTACACCTTAGCTTAAAAAAAAAAAAAAAAAAAAAAAAAAAAAAAAAAAAAAGCCCAGGGAAAAATAAAGCTGGCAGTCATTCCCCAAGAGGTTCACGTGGGGAGAGACAGCGAAGAGGAGTTCCAAGACAGCTCCAAACGCCCTCTTTGACCTGTGCGTTCTGGCTCCCCGGGGAAGGAGGAGGGCTGCAGGGTCCAAGCAAATCCTCAGACAAGGACTGTCGGGGAGGAGGGGGGAGACGGAGCCGCACGCACCCCGGTGTTCGGCCCGGATCTGGCAGCCCGGGGCGCGCGTGGTTCTTACCGAGCAGCAGGAAGGACAGGACCCACTGGAACACCGCCGCCGTCTGCAGCCGCCGCGCCAGCGGGATGTTGAGCGGCGCGAACTCCAGCTTCATGGCCCGGCCCGGCGAGCTCGGCGTGGACTACAGCCCCTGGCACCTCGCTGCCCTGCAGCGCCGGCGGCAAGTGCTCGGTCCGAGCGGGTCCCTCGCGGGTACCCGCGGGGCGGGGAGGAGGAGGAGGAGGCGGTGGCGGTGGCGGCGCCGGAGCGGACAGGGGCTGGACTTTGTCTTGGGTGGGAGGGCGCGCCGGGGCCGAGGCTGGGGGCTGCCAATCAAGCGCGCCCGGGCCCCGGAGCAGCTGGCGCGCCCCGGGCGCATTGGCTGGCGCGCCCCGGCGCCGACGACCGCGCTCCGCGTGGGGCACCGGGGACGCCGAGAAGGAGAAACTGGCTGCCCGCCACAGCCCGGCCGCGGAGCTCCTGCCACCTCGCAGAGGCCCTGGGGGCTCCACCGGGATCTGACTGCTGTGCAGCTGATCGATCGTCCACGCTCCGCTTCGGCATCCGCCTTTAAACCCACCCCTTCCTCTGGATCACCCACCAGCTGGAGGGAAACGCCGGAGGCTTTTTTGGGAGCAGGGTACTCACTCCTCTGTGTATTGGTCTGTGCCCCCCATACCACCCCCAAAACTGGAGAGGGGCCGGGACTTGGCCTCTCACTTTTGCCTCCTCAGTGTCCTGGACAACTTTTACTTATTCACTCATTCGGCAGACACTTAGTACTCACCGCTTGCCAGGCACCGTTCTGGACTTGGGGGATACATCCAGAAACCAGTCATTCATCGATTCCGCTGTCAGAGTACAAATTATGGGGGTTAGGGGTGGAGTGGGGGGTAGTGACAACTATAAGCAAATGACAACACATATCTGCAAAGCGGAAGCCTGCTATGAATGACTGGGAGAAGGTTCTAGGATAGATTGGAGAGCCAGGGAAGTCTCTGAAGAAGTGACCCTGACTTGAACTATAGCTATGAATCTGGTCCAAGCAAAGGGAAGCACAGGTCCTGCAGCTGAAATCCCAAGAAGACCAATAGAGAACAGGAGGAGATTGAGGTGAAATGAGGCGAAAATGGGGTCCAAGGGTCAGATCCTTACCCAAAAACTTGTCACTGGAAGGTTTCAATTATGATGTGTTAAGTAGATGGATGGATTCCAAATAGTGCCCAGTGCTTTTCCACCCGCTATCATTTTCTTTACAAATGTTAGCTGCCACGCATTCAAAACGGAAACCATCCCCACGTCACAATATTTTGAAATTGTTATTTAGGGAACATTTGAGAGCAATTGTCATCAGTTTGACTCAAACTCTTATATAAAAGTTCTCTGCAGTTTTGGACATTTCTTATCTTGACACCTGCTTTGCATCAAGCATTACCCTTGGTGCTGATAACAAGGAAGTGAATTAAGACATGGTCTCTCAGTCTTTGAGAACTCTCTTGCATTCATTCAATGAATGTGGAAAGGTTCTGTGAGTTGGCCATCGTGGGAAGTAGAAATGGGTTATAATAGTGAATAACAAAGGCTTCTCTTTTCATGAAACAGAAAATAGCTATATAACCAAATGTGTGATAGTGCCCTCACAGAAACACAGGTTCCAGTGATTGAGAATGATGAGCACCTATATAAAGCAAACTAGAGGCAAGAAGAGTGGAATTAGACTATTGTGGAGTAAAAATAGAGAATGGGGATTTGGTCTACTGTGGTACAAAGGAAACTAGAGATGGATTTGGGCACTGCATGAGAGGTATAAATGGTAAGACTAGTTGATAAATTAGATTCACAATCTACTGGTAAATAATAAAAGCAAGGTTCCCAACTCCTTCTCCTAATCACTTGGAGTTCACTGAATTGAATCATGCTTTTGTCACTTCCCCAGAGCCTTAGCTGTTAGAAAAGAACTGTTATCACCCACCACAGCCCATTGAAGCCAAAGCATGGATCCTAGAGGGCTCAGGCAATGCAAGAGCCCATCACCATTTTAATTAACAATTAACTCATCCACTGGTTTGTTGTTCAACACATATTTATTTGTGTACATATTGTCCCAGGTTACTAGAGTTAAGTGACTATTGGAATTAAAAGGAAAGATAGCTTTAATTTATCAAGCTATTCAAAACAGCTAATTTGCAGATGTTTCGTAACACAAGCCTTAAAATTATCTTTTCAAATTACATATTTCATAAATAGGGAGCCAAGAGCAGCGAAGTCAGGTGATTTGCCCAAGTTAACCCTGGCAGGAAGTACCGTAGACCTAGATCTCTTTATAGCTGTACTAAAACAGATAAGGAGAAGCAACTTGGTGTGGGATAATGGTTTCAAACTTTGATTTAAGGGGGAATTTTTTAAAATCTCCAAAGAACTCTAATTTATAAAAGAAATTCAAGTGAAATTTCTCTTGTTGAAAAGGAATGGGGATCCTGGCTCCCACCTTCTCAGTATCCTCTTCCTTACAAGATGACTGTATTTTTAGCAACATTAAATTGACATCAAACAGGCATAGAAGAACTCAGGTTAGAAATCACAGCTTATTTGCCACTTTCCTTCTCTCCCTCCCTCCCTCCCTCCCTTCTTTTTTTCCTTCCCTTTCTTTTATGTGTGTGTGGAGGGCAGCCTGACATTTGGAAAAATATTTAATTGAATGGAGTTCCTGCTGAAAAACCATATGTGATATATCAGCATTACTGAATTCTTATTACCGCACAGGCACTGTGCTATATGCTCTGTATGCCGTGTCTGATTTAAACCTCATAACTCTCATGGATAGGTACTATTATTCTTTTTACTGATAGAGAAAGAAAGAATAAAGGTCAAACTAGTTGTTCACCTAGGTAGACAAACCAGTTTCTGTTTTTTAAAAATAGGTTTGTCTGTTTCCAGGGCCTGAGCAAATAACTGCCATACTATGCTGTCTTTCAAACGATGTGACAAGGAAGGAACGAAATGTTGAAACCGAGGAACAAGTCAAGGACAGCAGGCAGAGGAATGCAGAGGACCAAACTTGTTGCAGTTTGGTTTGGGGTTAGTTACCCATTCAGCCAACAAATATATACTAATCACATACTATGTGCTTGGCATTGGGTATATAGGACTAATAATATACTTAAATTTTCAATGGAGAAATTCAACCAGAATGTATCAAGCACCTCTCCTGTGGTGAGTGCTGGGAAGTGCATAGCGATAGGAAACCAACACTATCTTGCTTGAGAGTCTACTGACAGAGTGTGGTTTCTCTTTCTACTGCTCAACTCTGAGGGATAGAAGGTAACAGTTGAAATTGCCCCATAGATTACAAAAGCCAGCTCTGAGATATAACTAATTTAAAATTACTTCCTTGTTGTATTTTACCATAGCTAATTTCTACCAGCAAAAAAGATAATATTTTTTTATTACATGACATTTTACTATAACTTACGTTAAAACGTTCCTGTCGTTAAGTGGAAAAGGAAATAGTATTCTTTCTAAATTGAAAGTCCATAAAGCCGGCAGTTGAAGACAAAGGTCAGTGTTCTGATTTTCATAAGGGTGCATTCATAATCATAAAGGTGAATATTCTTTCACACACATGCATATATGTGGAACCCAAATGTCATGGTTGCCCTAATTCATTGAGAGTGACCAGCTCTGGTAAAAGTCAGAAGGGCATCACTATGGTAGTTTCAAAGGAATGTCTATCAAGAAGTTCTGTTTTCAAGGCTCTTGTTTAAAAATATATATTTTTATTGGTTTCAGAAAGGAAGGGAGAGGAAGAGAGAGATAGAAATATCAATGTGAGCCCTAACAGTTAACTGGGCCTAAATGGTTTGGCTCAGTGGATAGAGCGTCGGCCTGTGGACTGAAGGGTCCCAGGTTCAATTCCGGTCAAGGGCATGTACCTTGATTGCAGGCACATCCCCAGTAGAGGGTGTGCAGGAGGCAGCTGATTGATGATTCTCTCTCATTGATGTTTCTAACTCTCTATCCCTCTCTGTCAAAAATCAATAAAATATGTTTTAAAAAAGAAAAGAAACATCAATGTGAGAGAGAATCATTGATTGGCTGCCTCCTACATGTCTTATACTGGGGATCAACCCCACAACCCGGGCATTTTCCCTGACTGAGAATCGAACTGTGAACTCATGGTTCATAGGTTGACACTCAATCACTGAGCCATGCTGGCTGGGTTTCAAAGCTCTTTTGAACCAAATTCAAGAGATTTGCTCTGGCCCCTCTGTTTTCTTACTGTCTTCTTGATGAACTATTTTATCAGTTTGACAGGGCTCAAGTCGGCTTGCTCTGGGCAAAGTTGCAGGAGTCTTAGCTGAGATAGCGAGGCTTTATAGCTACCATGATTATTGTCCAAGATTTCCTTTCCCCATATTTTATTGTTGCTATAGACACATACAAAGTCCCAGACTCTGTACACCATTCCTGCCTTTCTGTCTTTCACATTCTCCTTGAAAGCTCCATTTGACATATAAGCTCAACTGTTGCTTTTTCTTTAGCTCATGTAAGTATATGTTTTCTCTACAAAATAGGTGTTCTTTAAGTTATAACACTATGAGCAATTACACTTAGAAATTATTATGATAATTACTAATATTTATTAAATGTCTTTTCTCTTCCTATGACCTTCACTCCCACTTTTGTTTGCACTTAGCCTGAGAATCTAAGTAAGGTAAGGAAGGAATGAGGAAAAAAAGACTGAGAAGGTTTACTGTGGCCAATCTGGGTTGAGGGAAGGCTCTTAAAAGAGGCAGTCAGCAACTCAAACACAGTGTCCTTGGAGGTGTGGTAAGCAGCCTCCATCACTTCCTTCCAGCTTCCAAGAAAGTCCAATCCAGTGGATGGTCTTGCACTTGGTATTATTCGAAATGTTTATGGCTACTTAGTATATGACCTATTGATTCCTCTGGTCTTTTTTTTTTCTTCTTTATACATGCCACTTGCTCAGTTTGGGCTGCTATCATTTCTCCCCTGGATTACTGTAACCTTCTAACTGATCTCCATGCCTGAGTTTTGCCTTCCACAGTGCCACTACTAATCTCACTTCCACAATGTACTCAATGTGATCTTTCCAAAACCATATTGACCATGTCATTTCTCTGCTTAAAGTCTTTTATTTTCTTCCCATTGCTCTTAAAGTCCAAACTCTGTAATTTAGTTTTGGATCCTGCTTACCTTTGGGCATCTACTGATCTTTTGAGTCTCAGCTGTAACCATCCAACTCACACACTCTAAGCCTTAAGCTACCTGAACTTCATTCAATAGAAGAAAAAGTTTCAGGAAAAGGAGGGAACACCTGGGTTTTAAGAACAACTAGGGAATTAAGCACAGTATTTT